ATTAATAATATTTATGCAACACTCTGTGAACTTGGAGAAAAGATGAAAGTTTTATGTTCAAGACTTTCGCTCATGCAGTCGCTATAGGTCGTCTATGACTCTATGCACTTAACAACAACATACCTAGATCAAGAGGCTGTTGTCCAGCCAGAGCAGGGAAATTCTATATGGTGTAAGTTTTAAAAAGGTGTGTGTCAGGATTGTATCCTTTCTCCAAACCTATGCAGTCTATATGCTGAGCAAATTATTCAAGAATTTGGATTCTATGCAGAAGAATATGGCATCAAGATTAGAGGAAGACTCAGCAGTAGTAACTTCTGTTAACGAAGATGACACAACCTTTCTCGCTGAAAATGAGAACTTGAAGCACTTGTTGCAGAAGATCATATACCTTCAATATGTTTTGCATCTCAACATCAAGAGAACAACAACAAAAAATCTCTGACCTAATTAAGTAGGCAGGCAGCATCATGATAGATTGAGAAAAGATTGAAACTGTCAATAATTTCGTCTTTCTTAGATCCACTATCAATATACTTGGTACCAGCAGTCAGGAGATCAGAAGAGGTATTGCACTGACAAAGGCTGCAGTCAGAGATCCAAATAATTGAGGAGCAATGATGTTAGTTTTAGGACTGACGTATACTTTAAGTCGTGTTTTCACTTACTTGCTATGTTGCTGAGAGCTGGTCAGTGAATAAGGTGGACAGAAGAAGATATGCCTTTGAGTTGTGTTGGAGAAGAGTACTGAGTATCTCATGGACTGCTAAAAAACAAACAGATGTCTTGGAGAAAGTGCAACCAGAGTGCTCCATGGAGGCAAGGATGATAAAGCTACATCTCACATACTTTGGGCATGTTGTTTGTTGCATGGTGGTTGTTATGTGCTGTCGAGTCACTTGTGACTCATAGCGACCCTATGTACAAGAGCCCTAAATGCTGCTCTATCCTGTGCCAACCTCGCCATATCTGACACACTCATTCCCACCACCCCAATCACAAAATCAATCCATCTCATCGAGGATCTTCCTCTCCTGCGCCGTCCTTTTACTCTCCCAAACATGACATCCCTCTCCAAGGACCTCGTTGCAACATGCCCAGAGAATGTCAGACGAAGCTTCAGAATCCTTGACACCAAGAAGCATTCCGGCTTCATCCTCTCCAGGACAAACCTGTTTGTTCTCCTAGCAGTCCATGGTATATTCAACACTCTTCTCCAGCACAACAGCTCAAAGACATAAAT